TACTTGGCATATCAATTTCGACAAATGCTACTTGGCCCTTGTCCGATCACGCTTCACTTCGATGCCGAGTTAGGTTACAACATCCCGAATATGGGCAATCCAAACTGACTCGACCTTATTGATAACACGAAAGTGTCATGGTCTGATCCTTTACCAACTACGTCCTTGGCTATGCGGCTGAATAAAACTTTCACACCAAGCCAAAACATTCAACGGACAATGTAAACTTGTTGAAAATCGTCTAAGTTTTACATTCTCACAATTAACTCTATTTCCGAAGCGAGTTGCCTACAAAATCCGACATGTAAGAAAACACTCGTAACAAAGCTCCTGAAGCCCTATGAGTTAGCCTTAAAATACATGAAAAGATCTCAAGAGGCCAATACTTTGCAAAGCACTGTAATTAAATACGTTTCGTTTCGGGAAAAGTTTACGCGACCCCTCGGTCCTAATTGCTCTAGCATGAATCAAAATACTTGACATCCAAACAGGAATCACATAAAAAAATACAAATTTCTTCATATTCTTATATAAGAATTTTCTTCATATATTTTCTTCATATATTCCCTCTAATACTTTTCATATATAGTTGTTGCTTAATTTATTATGTAGTAAACTTTGTACTCTAGGTTCTTATTTACATATGCAGAAAGTTGTGGGTGGGGCCTTGGGTAAATACGTAGGACGGTTTATGTGTGTTCTTGATTTAGCCAATGTGGCCTTGTAAATGACGACTATTTGATCTGTGCATTGGCGGATCTAGGTAGAGTAAGAAGGATGTAGCTGCCCCAGTAAAAAAACCCACCTTTATTTAAATACACCAAAATTTTTAGGGAATTATGCTAATATAGAACAAAAGAACAGGTCTCATGTCCCTTTAGTATATCATATTTTTTGACCATTTTTTCTCCCTTTTACCCTTTCCATTTATAAAAATTAATAAATAAATAGTTCTATTACTCGAAAAAATATTTAAAAATACACAGAAGTGATTAAATTTCTATATACATAAACTGATATTTTTTTTAATTTCAAAATTTTGGTAAATTAAAAAATTTAATTACGTTCTACGGAGAGTAGAATTCACATTCTACGAAAAATCGCATAGTAGAACGCATATTCCACGTAAAGCAATTATCTCTACAGTTTGTAGAACGCATATTCCACGTAAACCAATTATCTCTACAGTTTGTAGAAACCATATTCTACGTTTTTAAAGACTTCTACAAAAAATCTGAATGTAGGTTCTACGTTTATATCCACTTCTACGAATGTCAGAATACGATTTCTACTTAAAACGCAGATGTCTACATATAGTAGAATGTGCTTCTCGAAACATGTTTGTGTGTCTACGCTGTGTAGAAGGTACCTTCTACGGATAAAACTAAACAAAATTCCGAAAATTTGGGAAAAAATCTAGGAAAATATTCAAAAAGATTTGTCCATAACTCCACCTTCCTTATGTGTGTGAAACGAATTTTGATGCCAAAAAAACCATAGCTTCTTCAACCCTCTTAACTTAACCTCCCTCCATTGTGTTTCTTTTGATTTTCACAAATTTTCTTGTACCATGCACATCTATACTACTTGCGGTGTATGGGAAGTAGGTGCTACGGGGTGGGTGTTTTCGGCTGATGACAGAGGGGGAAGATTACAATTATTGGAAGCAAATTCTACCTTAGAGGATTTAAAGAGAATGGTGTTGGAGGATTTTGATATGGAAGAAGATATGTTAGCCGATTATGGAACTGAGTTATTTACCTGCTGGGTTGATCAATACATCAACATCTCCACCAGTGTTCATTGCAAATGATCGCCAGCTTAAGAATTTTGTTGGTTTTGTTGAAAAGAACCCCTCGACTGGATTATGTGTAACATATAAATCAAAGGCTGAGAATCCGAATGAAAAAAATTAAAACATCAAAAGCTATACACAAAAAATATGTAGAAACCATAGAGAACACGAGAACAAATATACATACCGTCAGAGGAAACAAGTCCTCGATCTGAATGATGTCGTGATAAGAAACTTTAGCAGCTCCTTTCCAATTAGCACACCTTGGACCTATGAAGTTCTCAGCCACTTTTTTTCCTAATATTTCTCCAAAATCAGGAACTGCTTCCATAATCCATATCTGAAAAGCATAGCTGAAACCCTCGAAAATGTAGCTCTCCTTGTTTTCCAGCTTCTTCGTAGTCTTGGTAATGGAGCTAAGCAGGAAGTCAAAGGAGTGAAGACCCCAAGGAAAGTTACGAACCTTGTCAAGGTCCATCACCAACTTGATGTACATATGAGGGATGTTGACCTTCTCATCTCTTCCCATCACAACACCCATGATCACACACAAGTAGATCAACCTCAGCCTATCAACCCGAGTCCAGTTGTGAACTTCTTGTAGATGTTTTTTCCTGATCGACTTCAAGGTGATCTTCCCACCACTCCTTAGCATGTTGCTCCAAAAGCCTCCATCGTATTTCCATTCAACTACCTCGCTTACATTGTCTTGAGATACCTTGAGGCCAGTGACAACATGATATTCCTGAAGTGAAAACCGGAGANAAGACATAGCATCATGTAGAAGGTCGAGAAGCTCCATCCGGCAGCTGTTGTTGATCTTCTTAACTTGAGGTTCCAAACCCTCTCCATACAAACGCTTGGGTAGCTCTAAATCCATACCTACAAAGGACCAAAAGTTTGATTACGGTTCAATACATCAATTACAAAATTATGGAAATCAAATAAGTTAAGAAATTGTAAAAAAAACCAAGTCAATTCATCACATATAATAAGTAAACAAACAAAACAGAGACGAAATCAAATGAAACAAACCGAAATCAGTAAAACAAATCTGCAAAAAGAAACATTTTATACACACACTCAATTCATGAAGTAAAACAATTCACAAACGTAACTGGTTCATATAATCAGCAAAAGAGAGAGACATGCAAAAAAAGAACATGCAAAGAAGAACATGCAAACAAGAACCGGATTGATGAACATGCAAAGAAGAAATAGAGAACAAGTGAGGTCGATTGATGTCGTTTTACCTTAGTACAGATGTCGTTGGAAGAGGCAGTAGAGATTCAGAGAGTAAGATATTCGGAGAGCCAGAGAGAACAAGTCGATTGATGTCGGCGGAGAAAGAGATGCAGAGACGCGGAGAGGCAGAGAGGCGGAGAGTCGGAGAGGCGGAGAAAGAGATTCAGAGACGCGGAGAGGCAGAGAGGCGGAGAGGCAGAGAGGCGGAGAGGCGGAGAGGCAGAGAGGCGGAGAAATTTAAGATGCGGAGAGACGGAGAGACGGAGAGGCGGAGAAACGGAGAGGCGGAGAGGCGGAGAGGCGGAGAGGCGGAGAGACGGAGAGGCGGAGAGGCGGAGATGCGGAGAGAATCTCTGTCGCCGTCGAGAGGTGGAGAGGATCTCTGTCGCCTTTGTTTTCTGGGAGAGTTCCCTTTACTAAATGGGAATTAGGGTTACGGGGAGAGTTAGTTCCCTTTTGTTTCTATTAATTTTTTTTTAATTCGAAAACTAACATTTTATAAATTCAGTTTTAATTAAAATATTTAATTAGATTAATCTAGGGTTAGTTATGGGATTATAGAAAAAGATTATACTATAGGGACAAGATTGATGTTGGTTTATACTAAGGGGACATGAAACCTATTTTTTTGTTCTAAATTAGCATAATTCCCAAATTTTTATGTATGTTGCAGCTTAGTTGGTAAAAAGCCTATTATTTGCACCCATTAAACCAAAGTTAAAATAACCCTTTGCCTCTTTTTGCTGTTTTTGCCCCCACTCAATATATTTTCTAGATTCGCCACTTTCTTTTTTTGAATTGAATGTTAAATTTAACTCAAAAAAGAAAAATCCTTGTTACAATATATGTGTCCTTATTCTAAACTTTTACTGAAATTTTGAAACAAAACAGAAATCTGTACTTCTCCCGCCACCATCTTTCACCCTTTCTCAAATAATCTCAAGATTATGTTTAGCACTCACTCCTACTAAACACCCAGCTCTCACTCCTACTGGTCTCCATGCTCCTCTTTACCTTTCTTATTCAGCACTCACTCCTACTGAATAGCCCAGCACTCACTCCTACTGGATCACACCCCTTCTCCATGAAAATACGCACTCGCAAATCAACTACAATACACACTTCACACCCTGGTACTAAACCAGTAACTCATTCCTTCCTCCAGTTCTTTATCCCTCCTTCTCTGAATGACAGTTAGTTTGTTTCTCATACCCTTGTCTATCATCCTTGCTACAAGATCAACAGGAGATGGACTTTCTCCATGTCTTCTTCGGTTCCGTTCTCGCCAAATAGAATGAATGGACAACTGAAACATATACTTGACGATGAAGGACTTCACCTTACCATGTGGTCTCGCCATGTATCCAAGAAGTCTATCCCATTGATTAGTATAATCATTAAGCATAATTCCTTCCATCATTTTCCAAATGTGAGCAGAGAACTCACATTCAAAAAATAAGTGCTCTCTTGTCTCCAAAAGATTGTTGCATAATACACAGGAACTGTCCACTGACCCGCTCCATTGCCTCATGCGGTCTCCCGTAGTGAGTCTCCCCCTTGCAGCAACCCATGTTATAAAAGCAAATTTTGGAATGTCTTTTGATGTTTTTTTTTTTTTTATTAGTTATTTGCGCCGTACCATGGTTGAACAGATTATATGTATTGATCATTGTTTTAGTTGGTTCTGTTTTGGTGTCATTCGGCTTTTAGCTGATGTCTTGTTATTGAGTTAAGGTTTTATATCGTTAGTAGGCGGTTGAATGTTACGGCGTTAATGGTACTTGCTCAAATCACTGGCTTTTAGAAATAGACTCGTCGTTTTTTTTTTTTGCAGTGCTGTTAAGGTTTTGAGCTTTTGTGTTGGTGCGTTGTGTGAAGTATATGTTGATGCATAAAAAAACTAACCAAAAGTAGACACATGCTAATTATACCAGATGAATGATAATAAAACATGTAAATAGCCAGTCAACCTTCCCTTAATTTAAATTGAAATAACATTGTTCTCACATGGAGCTTGTTGCAGGGAATTTAAAAAAAAAAAACAAAAATAACAAACAAAGGGAAAGAGTTATTGCGTAGAGTTTATAGGGGAGGATAAGAAAACTTAGTGTAAAAGACGACTTGCTATACTTCCAACATTCACTCGGAGGGGCGTTTGCGGATTTTATCATCGTCTCCAAAGCTAGGTGTGTTGGTTTATCAACATCCACCACTTTTGTAGCCTCATCCACCGAGTTGCTGCCAAAAGCAGGTGGTTGTGTAATCAGCCCTGCCGCTTATAGGGATGTGTTGCTGCTTTGATATTAGAACTAAATGGTGGATAAGTTATTTCAGATCACCCCTGTTGACTATGTTATTTTAACTTACTAAGCTAGCTTACCCCTGAATAAATCTTCACTGCTACATCCTCAAATTGCAGATACTATTAAGGTGCGGTTGTTGGGAGTGAAATTGTAAAGTGTGATCTGAATCTGAAAGAGGCATTGCTTGCCAGGAAGTTCTTCTAGGCATCTTGTTAGATCCAACACGCCACCGCTATTAGCGAGTCATACATTCAACTCTGTTTGTTAATGCCAGTGTTGATAATGATTAAAAAAAAAGTTAGATGAATGGAGTTTTGTCTGTGTATATACCTCTTCGAGAGCTAGTGAGGATGCTTCTATCTTGGTGAGTTTCGTCATCTCTGTGTGAAACACGACAAACAAAGCACTATCTTCGCCATTGTCAAACAACTAACCTCAACACATGACCTGAGAACCAGTGCTCCAAGTGGGATTTTTGGGTCAAAGGTATTATAGCTGAGATTAAGTATGAGACTGAGACCTGAAAATCCAAGTCACGTTTGGCGATAGGAATCTGTTGCACCGGAGTGAAGTACCTGATTTGTCTAACTTCCTGCTGCAACCGTGCGAGACATAAGACCATCCATTTTGCTGGAGCACCCCAACGATCCGAGCTCTACACGAGAAATCAAATTCCTGGGTATTCACAAAGCCATTTGACAAGACATCAATTGGAACTTGATAAAATGATATAGTATTCATTAGAAAGGACGATGTGGCCATCGTTACCTACCTGTCCAGTTGACTTGAAGAGGTATACGTGAAGATCATCTATTAACACAATTTTTTTTTGAACCCATCCCCCTGTCGCAACACGTGGGAAAACCTCTGTAGCTGCGCCTCCCAAAATGTGGGGCTTAGCAGTTGGGTTATTTTCTTTCTTCTTTTTGTTTAATTTTAAATTGGTCTATGAAAAAAAGTATGATACCTCGATGAAAATTCTTAGTCCATACATATAAAGGAGTCCATGAAAACCAAAAAAAAAGTATGTACCTCGAGGAACTCAGTCAGAAGGTTGATCAGTGTAGTTCCATAAATCTCAAACTGCAGTTCACAAACTTAGAGATGCCTACAAAACTTAAATGCTAATCTTGTGGGCTTAGTGTATTCGGCATCTAAAACTGCATTTTCAAGATCTTGACTTCCGAAGGTTGTTACATCTTGTACAACAAAAGATGTTCAAGATGATGGTTAGCAATAAAATCAAGGACATTTGCGAACTCCACATAAACCAGCTTTTAAGGTAATACGTGAAATTGACATGCCTCTTTCAGAAAAAAAGATTTAATCATGCAATAACTGCATCGCCTCCATTAGTTTCAACCAATTATGTTTTCTCTACAATAACTAAAGCCTATAGCCTGTAAAAAAGGACTAATCAATTTAATAGAACTGGAAGAGATATGTGTACAAAACATGTTTATGAACATGTTCCATCAATAGATGGAATTTATCAAAACCTTTAAAAATAAAGGCCACACAGTTGTTCATGGTTATATAACTAATGGCATCAGAGGCAGACTAAGATATGGATGCATCAAGAAACCACATATTGTGTATAGCATCAAAGCACCTAGTCCTTGTGCTTGTCATATGTGGCAATGAATTCGCTATTGTTCACATTCCACAAAAGTCTTAGGTAAAATTCGCCAGCCACACTAAATTTTCAAAATCAAAACAACCTTAGATAAAAGTTTCAGCTGAAAACTCTATTGATAGTAAAGCAAACAACAATTAAAGGAAGATTGGGAATTTTAGAGCAACCCATTAATCAAGATACATCAATGAAAGATATTTGATGACTTTTAGAGCAAGATCACTAACCCTGCGGCCATCAATGACGTGTTTCTCCATGATCATTCTCTGCAACAGAAGGATATGCAAAGACGATGAAACCAAAGCCAAGGGAAAATCCTGTGGTACGGTCTCGCATGATCACAGATTCGATCAAATCTGAAGAATGTCCACTTGCCTATCTTGAATGAGATAGGGTTGTCTTTGCTAGGATTTCAACTATTTATAATGTTATGTGATTTGATTATGAAAAGTTTGAGATTAAGGCAGAAGGAATACAATCATTATTGGGAGAAAGGAGAAGAATATTGAATGATAGAAATCATTACCTTGGTTGATGAACTTAGAGCATCTCAACCTCATTTTAAGGATGGAAAATAATCAAAACTAGGTGTTTCGCCCGCATTTGCGGGCATAATTCTTTTATGAATATTTATTAGTTGATGTTTCATTAATTTAAAAATTAGCATAGTAAGTTATTATTTATGTTTTCAAAAATTAAAAATCAAACATCAAATAATTATCAATGAAAAATCTCAAACATAAAAAATATTTAAAAGAGTATATTTATATAACTATTTTTCTTGATTTATATTTAATTATAATTTATATATCTTAATTTTAAATTTTATATTAGAAAAGCATATTTTCAAAATAACAATATAATGCATAATTTATTAATTTTCTGATAATATAATATGATAATTTTTTAACTATATAATAATTATATAAGATTATAGAAATTATGACATATAATTAAAATTATCTAAAATCATTGAGAACTTAATGAATCAGAAAATTCACTTCTTAAATAATTTTTCTTGAGTGATGATTTATATTTAATTAATAATAGATAATGTTTCTATTTTACTTTTAAATGATTTAATATAAAAATATATTTTCAGGATAACAACATTATACATAAGAATTACCATATTCTCTAAAAGTATAATATTATTAGTGTAAATTTATTTCAATTATAGAATAACTACAACTTTTTATATCTTAATTTTAAATTTCTAATAGAAAAATATATTTTCAAGACAGCAACTTAATACATAAGAAGTATTTTATTTTCTAAGAATTTGATACTATTAGTATAAATTTGTTTTAAATATATAATAAATTATATATAAAATTATATAAATTGATAAATTATCAAAATTACCTAAAATCATGGAAAATATGACAAATCAGCAAACATCAAATTCACTTCTTAAATAATATTATAGATTTTTTACATGTTAATTTTGAATTTATAATAGAAAAATATTTTTTCAAGATAACATCATAATACATAAGAATTAACTTATTTTCTAAAATATCATACTATTAATATAAATTAGTTTTAATTATATAATCAATAATAAACAAAATTATAGAAATTCTGATAAATGATCAAAATTACCTAGGATCATGGAGACAAATCAACAAATTCACTTTTCAAATAATTTTATTGATGATTTACATTTAATTATGATATATTTAATTATTAATGATATAATTTTATATCTTAATTTTAAATTTTATAATAGGAAAATATATTTTCAACATAACAACATAATCCACAATGATTATTTTATTTTAGAAAAATATTAAATTTTTAATATAAATTCGTTTTAATATATCTAAATATTAAATTATTAATAAAAATCGTTTTAGATAAATATAATAGTGTTTATATCTTAATTTAAAATTTAAGTTTTATATATAAAAATATATTTCAAGATAACAACATAATTCACAAGAATTATCTTATTTACTAAAAATATGATATATTAATATAAATTCGTTTTTATTAAATAATAATTTTTGATATGAAATTATTTAAATAAGGTAAATAAATAAATTTACCTAAAATCAAGGAGAAGTTGACAACTAAGCAAATTTACTTCTTAAATAATAGTATAGATAAAGATTTTAGGGTGTGTTATTCTAAGAAGAAACTTCAAATCCATCTTAAAAAAAAATATACTATTTGCATTATAGTCCTTAAATTTAATATAAACTAATGATAATCACTAAAATTCATATAGATAGATAACACTACACTTCAAAAAAATAAACATAATATTTATAAATACAAATTAATTATATTAAAACAAAAATATATAACATAATAATAGAAAACACACATTAATTCATAAAAAATAAAAATAAAAATTCTTGATTGTTGTTATTTTCATAATGTTCCCATATATGATCAATCAACCCAAAGTGTTTTGTTTAAGTACTATTCTTTTATATTGTCTTTTCTTTTATTTTAGCATATTTATATATTTTATGTATTAATTATATATATAAGATATATTTGAAAATTTCAGACAAATATATTTATAAAATATAGTTATAAGGAGTAAAGAGATAAGAAAATTAATACAAATACAATTATATGTAAGATAAAAATATATATAAGGACTAAAATGAAACGTGAATAGTGTTTTGAGAGCATGAACAGTGGACCTTCAAATTTGAGGTTTCACTATTCACACCCTCAAAATTTGAGAAATTGAAAGTCTTTTGGAGAGTTAAAAACCTCAAAAATTGAGGGTATAAGGGCCTCTTGGAGATGCTCTTAGATCTAATCACCTCGAGTTTGAGCAATTAGAGAGAGAGAGAGAATAGACCGTCTGGACAATCGTGGGAAGAAGAGAGAAAGACAAAAGGATCAGAGACTATATGTGAGAAAGAAAAAGATAGAAAGTCAGGGTTATGATTTGTGGCTTTTTAGATATTTTTAAAGTGCATTTTCGGGCCCAGAAAAAATTGAAGCCCGACCAAATATTGATGTGGTGCTGATGTGGCAGGACGTATCACTCCTATCTATATTATTAAAATAGAAGTACACTTATAAAATATCCCTGAGTTTTTCTAATTATTTACAATGTTATGCCATTGAAATTATTAATTTCCCTACCTTATAGGATTCTTTGTCTTTTCACTTTAATTAATGCATTTCCAAATCAAATTTTAACTAAAAAAAATTATGGCAACAATAATTAATGAAAATAATTTTCATATATACCTTTCATAATTAAATAAATAAATTATATAGAAATTTTTTTACTAATTCCATATACATAATAATTAATTCCAATATTAATCAACCTACCTTTTAGGATTTTTTTTCTTATTAATTATCTACATATCTTTAAATAGTTAATGAACAATATTGTTTTAAAAGATATATAATTATATTTTTATTATTTATAAGTAATAACTAAAATAAAAGTCACAAAAGAAACATTTATATAGTATATAATACATAGATTAATATAAACATATTATAATATGTATGTTTTTATATAAATAATAGTTCAAGGTAAATTCAGAATAATAAAAGTTAAAAAAGTAGAAATATATAAGACCATATATTTTAAATATTAGATAAAAAAATTTAGTTATACATTATCATAAAATTTTGATCCATAAAAATAAAATAAAACATTTGTGCAGATATACGGGTCATATTTTTAAAATAAGTATGACACAATGATAGTTTACAAGATAAAATAAAATTACTCAATATAAACTATAAAATTGTGTGTTTAAAATGTCGTTTTAAACAATTATTTAAATGGGTAAATTTAGAAATATATATTATTACTTATAAAATATATAAAAACAAACATTTGCGCGGATCAAACAACAAACTTTTCGGTATTATTCTGTCAAAATTAAACCCATAAGTAATTTGTAACCATTTAATTGATATTTCATTTTTTATTTTACAAATTTCAATCCAAATGTTTTATATATTAAAAATTTTATATAATTTGAACATCATGCTTTTTCTTAGAAATCTTATAACTAATTTATCATTTTTTTTGTATACCATATTAACTCTTACTTCTCAAGATTTGATGTATCTTTAACTGAAAAATATTTTCAATATATCGTCTACATGTTAAATTTGTTTGTATGATACCCAATATTTTTGATACAATAAATTGTTAACACACATAAAAAAAAACTTAATGTAATACAATTAATTTTTACAAAGATTTCATTTAGTATAAAAATTAAAAAAAT